TTATAAATAATAATAATAATAATAATAATAATAATAATAATAATAATTAAAGTGCGGGCGGTTTTTGCGGGTTTTTTGCGGGTTGCGGGTTTAACCCGCAACCCACAAATTTGTTATATTTCAAACCGCATCCACCCGCATTATGTTTGCGAAACCGCCTATTTATATGCGGATTGGGCGGGTTGGGCAGTTTGAGCGGTTCGGATAAACCGTTGCCCACCCCTATACATTTGTATCTTTTTTTATGGATGGCCTATTATTAAATATTTAAATCTAAGAAAATAATAATAAACATTCAACATCCATCAAAAGCACTAAAGAAAATAGGAGAAAAGACAACTTGGCATGCCCCTAGTGTGTCCCGAAGTGTCCCCAACGTGTTCTCTGAAAATAAATTAATTAAATAAAGGGACACGCCACATGATGTCCCCGCCATGCCCATGTGTCCAACACGGATACAACACTTGTTTTAAAGTGTCGGTGCTTCATAGGATACAACACTTCAGTGCATTAATATATCCACTTGGCAATGCTTTATCTAGACTGGAGATGATGTGACAACTATGAAGCCAACTAGGTGGCAGTGGATATCCAACTATCAACACTCACAGACACGTGCATAATCTTATGCCAGAAGAGATGGAGTTACATTTGGGTCTACAACAATATAACTACATTCTTGCCAGTTTGGCACATAGAAGGATAATTGTAAGAACAAAACAAAACAAAACAAAAAAATCAAACAAATAAATAAATAGTTCGATCTTGACAAATACCTGCTGAAAGCTTCCTCTATGATATGATGAGATCACATGACAATCATCCGAACTGGAACAAGCCATGACATACTTACGAAAATCATCAATGGTGCTTTGATTTGTGCGAAAAGCTTCAACTCTTGCTCCAGAACAGTGAGCCAAACATACAAGCTTTCCAAATGAAATGCCTGTAGCTTTAACCTTCTCCAATGGCTCACAACAATCCAACATAGATTCATCAAACCATCTCCAGGGCCCTACATGAGAGTGTGATATCCACATGCCACATGAATTCAGAGCAGAAGGAGGAGGAGGCAGAGGAGCAGGAATTAGAAATATGTGTGTGTTCATGCATATTACACACATATTAATGTATGTATCTATGAAGGCATACGGTAGTGCAGTTTAAAAGGTCATTCACTGAAGTCAGTGACATGAATCCCAGACAACCACACAAACAATGACCTTAACCCTCCACCTATACAGGTAATCTCAAGCAAGTCTTAGTCACACCAGCAGCACCTACAGAAGAAAAGTGTACATATATACATATATATCCTGGCATGGCATGAAAACACATATATTTGTGTCTTAAACACTACATACAGATACCACTCCTGCATTGGCTCACTCAAAATTCAAATCTAGTTGATCTAACTTAAACTAAAAACATAACAATCCACCCGAGTTAGCCTCAAAGTGGATGCTTCAAGTTTACCAATAAAGCATGCTGCTAAAACCATGGAGAATGTGAAACCCCTGTGTCAAAACAGTGTTCTGAAGAAAGGTCCCCAAGAGATGCTTGCAAGGTCTCCATCCATCACTCAAACCATTCCTTTTTCTTGTTGCAAATTTAAACAGTTCAAAGAACACATCTGCTAATATGCTATTACTAAAATATTAATAATTACCTTTCCATTTTCTTCCCGGATCAATAGCAAGGGCATTCATGACCATGGAAAGGCTGGCTAATCCACAATAGGCAGGCTCTGATTGCGTCTGAAAGTAAGAGATCAGCTTGAAAAAGCCTTCCATTGTACCACTTTGAATGGCTTCTAAAAAGAGTTGCTGCAGTTCCAAAATGTAAAAATTTATTGATCACTTATAGAGACAGAAAAATTAGGTGTACCAATTTTTTATGATAAGAAGCTATACTGAAACTTTATCACAATTACCAACGGGAATAAAAAATAAGCTAACAATATACATATTGAGATCTATTGGGGATGCTTCCACAGCAAATGTATGTGATTACGTAACAACTTTCATTCTCTTAAACTAAGCAAATTTTTAATATCCCAACGGCTAGAGCTAAGTTAAGGGTTTTTAGCCTTTTTAGGGTGCCATCAAGAGTACTAGAGTGAGACAGATATATTTCTTGGAAGCATGACATACAAGTGAGAATTGCATCAAAACTGAATTGAAAATTATTTTTTCATGATACACACTTGGTTGAGAAGTGTACTGTCAGACGAACATAGATGAAAACACTAAAAACCAATCAAAAAATATAATAGTTACAAACTACAACCTCTTTCCAAAATAAAAGAAAGGAAATACAAATACTCCACGTAAAGTAACATTAGTTGTAGGTCATGTCCAGGATTGATTGACAAGTTATTCATTATTTCTTTGTTTGTAGATTTAAGTTCACCATTAAGGTGCTTTTTGCTTCTTTTTTAAATTTCATAAAAACTAATTTTTGTTAAAGCTAATTCAAGAGCGTCCATGAGGAAAGAAGCAACAAAGTTAGTCATCAGACTCATTCCAATATGGAATAAACAAGGATGCCACAGGAGAAGATGATGAAGAATAATAAAGAGAAGCCCCACACATTCATCTAAGAATGATACAAGTTGTTAAACTTTCTTTCCATTAAAGGCTTCAACTAGGTAGCATATTACAATTTTCCATCCCTTCTCCCTTCCACATCAAAATTGTATCACTCCCTTATGCACACAAAAGGCACAAATGCGAGCTGATTATAAATTGGGTTTTGTTGACAAATGTCACTGAGTTGCAAAAAAAAAGGAAAACAACAGAGACACTTTTCATCAATTTCAAAACCCTTTCAAAATAGATTTACTGTACAAAAAAAAAAACAAAACAAAAACAGTAGATTCACTGATGAAACCAAGCACACAGGATCATATAACGTAATCACAAAGGGCAAGACAGATACTAGCAGACTTCGATCAATCACCAATTGTTTCAATTTCACCCATCCACAACAATGCCTTCACACCATCGACCGCCACACTAAACAATTCAAACTCAACAACAAAAATTCAACGAAAAAAACAAAAAACAAAAATAAAAATACCGAAAGAACTATCAAACATTACTGTAACTAAGACAATTCAGTGATTCACATGACTATACAATACTAAGGCCCTGTTTGGCAAGTTCGGTTTGGGATTTTTTGGGCTAAAATCCAAAATAAAAAATAAAAAACAAAACAAGCTAAAATAATCAATAAAATAAAATATCACATCAAATCAATAATTACTTTTACTTTTTTCTCACAAATATCACAAGTACCAAAACCAAAATAAAACATATCCATCTTCCCAACCACATATATTTTGACCTATTAAAATAACAAAAAAAAAATTAAAATAACTTACTAAAATAGCCAACTTCCCAAACGAGGCCTAATACACTTCACATTCATAAAAACCTAATTTCATAGAATGATAGTGATTTCGAGTGATCTGAAAAGAAATCGAAAGAAGCTGACCTTTCCTTCAGAAGAAGCGAAATCAATGGCCGGAGGAGATGGTAAAACACGCCGATACAAGCCTGCCATTGCCATGTCTGTCGATCGAATTCTTCGCAAGTCGGTCTGTGTGTGTGTGCTCTGTGCTCTTTAGGGTTTCGTTTCGTGAAACATAGATTTGAGAGAGAGAGAGAGAGACGGCGTTACGACGCCCCGCGTAAAAACACGGCTTTCAAAACTGGGTGCTTGTTAATTCTCCAAATTGTCCTTTTTATACAATTTGCCACTGACACGACGTCGTTGTAATTTTGGAGATGAATTAGGGGTAATGACGTAATTTTACTGCTTTGTTTGTGTGACGGAGTAAACTTTTTTTTGAAAGCCACGGAGTGAACTTGACTCGTTCGGTTCACGTGCAAGATTAACAAATATTGGCGAGTAATGGGAAAAAAACGAGCGGCGTTTGTACGTTGTTGTGTGCTTTTCCATTTATTTCACGTGCAAGATTAACAAATATTTTCTTACTAATGGACTATTAACATGTTTTAGCCTCCGTTTGGGAAGTGGGTTGGTTTTTTGGCTTTTTGATTTTTTGGCTATTTTAGCCTGGGCTATTTTAGCCTGGTTTGGGAAGGGCTTTTTGGCTTTTTGGCTTTTTTGACTTTTTTTGTGAGAGAGGATTGTAATGATTAGGGGTTGGATTTGATGTTTTGTTTTTTGTGGCTAAAATAGCCTATTTTGTTTTTTGTGCCTATTTTAGCCCCAAACCCACCCAAACCTTCTTGCCAAACATAGTAAATATAATAATTTTGAGAATTTTTTTAAAAGAAAATTATAAATATATTGTGTGAGATTTATTTAAAATATAAATTATTTTTTATGGTTTAGAAAATTACATATAATTTCTTGTCATAATTTTTTATATAACAGAATTAACTAAAAAAATAAAAAGATTAACAAATATTTTCTTACTAATGGACTATTAACATGTTTTAGTAAATATAATAATTTTGAGGATTTTTTTAAAAGAAAATTATAAATATATTGTGTGAGATTTATTTAAAATATAAATTATTTTTTATGGTTTAGAAAATTACATATAATTTCTTGTCATAATTTTTTATATAACAGAATTAACTAAAAAAATAAAATTTTTAATTACTCTTCTATATACTAATAATAAAATTGCCTGAATTATTATTTGAAATAAATTTCTGACATTATTAAAATAGAAAATTATTTATAAGTCCTATTAGAGAAACTTATGCTACATATGGTCTGTACGAGCACGAAATAATTCTTCTCGTATGATCTTGTTGATCAAGTTTACGCTCCTCCAAACAACGTTGCTTTGCCACCTGAAAACACAAACATGAGCTAACCAGCGGGTGTGTGCCAAAAACCCCTCTGATGCCTAAGTCAGCAACTAGACAATAGACAATAAGTTCTGTGTATTCTAGAGTAAGAATTGGGATACCTGTCCATAGGTCTGGTCATGAGCTTTTATAGACTTTACTTTAGCACAATCCTAGTAGGATTCTAACTCCCCCTTTGAGAGTCTTCTTAGGAATCACACACCCTTGCACAATCCCAGTAGGACTCTAACTCTCCTTAGCAGAGTCCTACAAGGAGTCTCATCACTGCAAGCCAAGTGAGATGGTTGAACCCTTTACCTCAGTTATACATTTTTGACCGAACTGCCTTATCTCGGTCCCCTGCCATTCGGACCGTGTGATCGAAAGTCGATCTATCGAATGCCACCCTACCGAGCTATACACAGCTCGGCCCTCGCTATTGATGTTACCTCGGTTTTGTCTGTTTAGACCGAGGTAACTGTAGTAGTCTCCGACCGAACTAACAAGGACGAGGTCCAACTTGTGAAGCCCAAACACCTCGCCCCATAGTTCGGCCTAAATCCGAAATATGAGATGTCTTCTTGGCCTAAGACTGAGCTACACCAGCCCTTACTCAGCCCATTGCGCGGCCCAACTTCCAAAGAAGACTTTTCCTAGCTTGGCCCAATTTGTTTACAAATTACTCTCTCAATTGCCCCTTAATTCCATCTGCATATCATGATTGGGATTATTTTTCCTTCAGCCGAGCTAAGAACGCCCTACTCTGCCGAGCTAAAAAGTTTGTTCGACCCCCAATAAGCCTTGTCAGTTGCTCAACATGTTCTTCTATTAATCTGGTACAATGTCATTCCCAGAATACATAGCGTGCCCCCAATGTCCTCGTTCTCCTGTTACCACCGTCATGCCAAAAATTTGAATAGCCCTGTTTTTTTGCCTTCAACGTATATATCCTTCGAGTTTGCAATCGTATGGCCAGTCATTCTTTCTGTGTCTCGTTGAGTAGACTAACTCGGTTTATACTAACCTTGCCAACCTGCTTTGGCCGAGGTAACCATCATCCCGGTCAAAGAGTTCCAAAAATTTGTTGGTCAAACCTGCCAACCCACTTTGCCCCTAGTTGGGCAAAGATTTTTGCGCGGTCGGTCCTACTTGTCAACCGTGTTATCTTTTGCCGAAGGTGTTTTGTCCGACATCGCTGTTGTGCCAGACTCTGCCTTGGTGCGCGCCCCATCTTCCTCTACCCTGATGTGTTGGTGCACTCTCTCCATCAGGGCTTCCATAGTAAGGGGCAGCGTCATTGTCATTGAATCCCTCAACTCAGTTCACGATATTTTGCTTCAGTTAATTTTACACCATCAAATACATACTGCTCGTCTTCTATATCATCTCTAAGCTCCTTCAGTTTCTTCAAATACTCTTGCCTTGAAACTTTCCTTGTAGCTCCAATGTCATCTTCTTCCAAAGCATTAAATCTCTGAACAGCTTCTTCTTCATCCCTCTGTGTTAATTTTGCCTCAGCTAGCTTCCCTGTTGCTGCTGCATCCCGCTCTTTGGTTACGCAATTGTTTTTCCTTCGACTCAGAACCATCATCATCATCCTGAGAAGTCCGTCTTTTAACTCGTCTTTCTTCTTCACTGCTCTTCTTTTTCTTCGAATCTTCCTTCTCTGTCGTCGTCTTCTTCGACTTTCTCTGCTTCGAATCCTACTCCTCTGTCTCTGACTCCTTTTTTCTTCCCTTTGCCTTTTATCTGGCTCTTCATAGACTCTATGTCAGCCGCCATGCTTCTTATTACTTTGTCTTGCTCCCTTGCGCAATCTTTGAGAACCTGAGTATCTATCTTCCGCCTCTGTCTATCAGGGCTTTGAGAGCGGTGTGGACTTGAGCCCTGTCTTTCTCTTGCTTCTCTTCGCGGATTCCTTCGCTGGGGATCTAATTCCGCCATGGGTGGGATAGAAGGTAAACCTTCGCGCCTCCCATCCCCTTCCGGTGTTTGTCCATCGATAGCAGATTGTGGCGAGTCTTTATTGTGCGTCATTACTTTCAACTATAGAGGAAAACTTGATCAAGAGGTTTTGTTCTTTATGAAATTCCCACAGACGGCGCCAAATAAAGCCACCGGTCCCCGTGTCTTGCACATATTGTCCGCTTTGGCATTTCGACCGCACGGTTTTGTTCCTCCCCCACTAGGGGAAAAGGCCTATGCAAGGTAAGAGTAGCTAGCCTGCTTATAAGGTGGGAAAGTAGTCCCTCACAGACCAATGTGGGATTTCCCGCACATTAGCCCCCAACCGCGCTGGCTTCGGTCACCCCTGAGAGAGTTCCCACAGACGGCACCAATTATACGAGCACGAAATAATTATTCTCGTATGATCCTGTTGATCAAATTTGCGCTCCTCCAAACAACGTTGCTTTGCCACCTGAAAACACAAACGTGAGCTAACCGGCGGGTGTGTGCCGGAAACCCCTCCGATGCCTAAGTCAGCAACTAGACAATAGATAATAAGCTCTGTGTATTCTATAGTAAGAATTGGGATAACTGTCCATAGGTCTGGTCATGAGCTTTTATAGACTTTACTTTGGCACAATCCTAGTAGGATTCCAACTCTCCCTTTGAGAGTCCTCCTAGGAATCACACACCCTACTCACTACCAACCAAGTGAGATGGTTTTGCACAATCCTAGTAGGACTCTACTCTCCTTAGCAGAGTCCTCCTAGGAGTCATACTCCTACTCACTACCAACTAAGTGAGATGGTTTGTACAATCCCAGTAGGACTCTAACTCTCCTTAGCAGAGTCCTACTAGGAGTCTCATCACTGCAAGCCAAGTGAGACGGCTGAACCCTTTACCTCGATTATACATTTCTGACCGAACTGTCTTATCTCGGTCCCCTGCCATTCGGACCGTGTGATCGAAAGCCGATCTATCGAATGCCACCCTACCGAGCTATACACAGCTCGGCCCTCACTATTAATATTACCTCGGTTTTGTCTGTTTAAACCGAGGTAACTGCAGCAGTCTCCAACCGAACTAACACTACTACAAAAATAGATAAAGATCACACTTTTTTTGTGTGATGTTTGTTATTTAATCACACCTTTTTAGTTTTATTAAAGTGTGGTCTTTGAGAGTGTGATTGAAAGGGGTTATTTTTAATCACACTTTTTAAGTATGATTAAAAACATTTAGATCACACCTTTTAAGTGTGATTAATAACAGTTAGATCATACCTTTTAAGTGTGATTAAAACATTTAGATCACACCTTTTAAGTGTGATTGATAACATTTAGATCACACCTTTTAAGTGTGATTAATAACAGTTAGATCACACCTTTTAAGTGTGATTAAAACATTTAGATCACACCTTTTAAGTGTGATTAAAAACATTTAGATCATACCTTTTAAGTGTGATTGTTAACATTTAGATCACACATTTTAAGTGTGATTAAAAACATTTAGATCACACCTGTGCGGGGAGCAAATATTCCGGCAAGCCCGTACTCCTTTCTTCCGAGCTCCGTCTCTGTCCGATCACCTGCGAGCCAATAAGGGTGAGCTACCCGGCGGTGTGTGGCCGGAAAAACCCTCCGACGATCAAGTTAGCACACACCTTAGGATATAGAGAGAGAGAAAGAGGAGTGAATGAGTGTAAGAATTTCCTTACAGAATGTTCATCCTTGCGTATGGGGGGTGCAGACATACTTATATACCCTCTGCGCCCCATATCCACTCCCAGTCATCTCCTGACACGTGGCTCCGCTTTCCCATCTGTCAGCATAAACCTTGCCGATCATCACCTAATCACAACTGCCTGTCTTCTCAGTTGGAGCTCGGCAGCCGGGCTGCTCTATCCACGGCCGTGCTGTGCTTCATACCCAAGTGCTTCACTGGCTAGGCCCAGGGAGGACCGGGCTAGGCGGCATCTCGGCCAAGCCAAGCCCGAGACACCTCCTGTGGTCAGCCTTCCTGCCGATCAAACGGTTTCCTCGGTTGACCACGCCTTTCCGGGCTCCGGTCGCTCAGCTTGTCTGGCTTCAGCCATCCCCTGATCAAGCAGCTCGGTTCAACCGAGCACTGCCTTGCCGAGCTTCTTTACGGTCCGGGGTGGCGCACACTTGGCCCAATTCCTACCCGGGCCAAGTTCTGGCAGCCCATCTTCGGGCGAATAGTCGATCATCTCGGCCCCATGCACGGTTGGGCTCTCAACCCGCTCGGTCGTTCCCTCGGCCCAATACCAGGTCATAAACCACCCTCTCAACACCTTTTAAGTGTGATTAAAAATATTTAGATCACATGTTTTAAGTGTGATTAATAACTAATAAAACATGTGATAATAAACATTTAGATCACAGATTTTAAGTGTGATTAATATCTAATAAAACACGTGATTAATAATTAGATAAGATCACATGTTATATGCATTTAAAGAATGTAATACACACTATATACTATATTTTGAATCACAACCATATATTGAATAGAATAACATCATATATTTCATAAATGAAAGTTCAATGTTCAAAAAATATATACTCCAAAGGAATTAGTAAAAAGTTTTTAATTGTGCTTACATAAATTAAAAAATAAAAAATAAAAAACTTGAAAAAACTAAGTTGTTGAATTCTTTGACCATATTTTGCATATCTCCAGGAAATTTTTGACCTGAAAAATAAAAACACAAATTAATTCAGAAACCACTAGAAGCATATGAATGAACTTACTATTTTTGTAGAGACTATTCTTGTCTTACAAAAGACAATTTTCTCATCACACTAACTCTTCATCCCCTGCATCAATAGAAAAGGAATAACAACTTTAATTGTTACTAGTATAAAACGTTTGTATTACCATATATAAATATGACATATACATAGAATCAATAAATCCAAAATAAAAATCTTCAATGTATAGCTAAATATTTTAAAGTCATAAAACCAAAAATATATATAGAATCAACAAATCCAAAATTATAAATCAAACATAACAAATCCACAGCCAAGTGGTTCATTCCATGTATCCTTAGAAATTGCAAATGCCCCATCAGCCTGTGATTCCCAAACATACCTGAAAGTCAACAAATTAGATACATCCACAGTTACATTTGTTAAATTTTCGACTGTAAGAACAAATACTCGAGTTCACTAGAAAAAGGATATGAATTCAGAGGCATACTGTTTATCTTCATTATGTTTGCTAATGACTTCAACATAGTCAGCGACAAGATAAACAGAGTAGAACCCAACGCCAAACTGCCCAATGAGATTAAGGTCTCCACTTGTCTGCATTTTCTCCACAAAAGTTGTATAATATTAGAATAAATTCAATTACAGACCATTAATTATTAATTCCCCCCAAGGAAGAAGTTGACATTGTACCAGTAAAACACTCAGCCTTATTGATAAAATAAAATACCTGAAGTTCCAGATTTAGCTAAATATGACATATACATAGAATCAATAAATCCAAAATAAAAATCTTCAATGTATGGCTAAATATTTTAAAGTCATAAAACCAAAAATATCTATAGAATCAACAAATCCAAAATTATAAATCAAACATAACAAATCCACAGCCAAGTGGTTCATTCCATGTATCCTTAGAAATTACAAATGCCCCATCAGCCTGTGATTCCCAAACATACCTGAAAGTCAACAAATTAGATACATCCACAGTTACATTTGTTAAATTTTCAACTGTAAGAACAACTACTCGAGTTCACTAGAAAAAGGATATGAATTCAGAGGCATACTGTTTATCTTCATTATGTTTGCTAATGACTTCAACATAGTCAGCGACAAGATAAACAGAGTAGAACCTAACGCCAAACTGCCCAATGAGATTAAGGTCTCCACTTGTCTGCATTTTCTCCACAAAAGTTGTATAATATTAGAATAAATTCAATTACAGACCATTAATTATTAATTCCCCCCAAGGAAGAAGTTGACATTGTACCAATAAAACACTCAGCCTTATTGATAAAATAAAATACCTAAAGTTCCAGATTTAGCTATTGTTTCCAGTCTTTGAAGATACAAGAATTTATTGTCTCATAAAATGCCTAACAAAAACCCTACAAGCACAGAATGCATCGATGTCTCACAAAACCTCGGCTCCCAATATTGAAATTGGGCACTTAATGTTGGTAAGAACAAGCTATCAGTCACACACACACACACACACACACACACACACACACACACATGTTATGAGCTTAAGAAGTGTGAAATTTACCTTCGATTTCATCTTCTGTGATACGACCGGGATACAAAACCACTGCAGCCTGAATTTCATCAGTCCTTGCTAGTTTTACAACTACTACCCAAGTCAAATGCAAAAATAACCCATAATCTTAGCAGCCGAGTCCATGACTCATTGGTGAAGAGCAGCCCAGTTCAACTATGTCAAATTTCACAGCTTATTTCATGTAAAAAGCAATATAAACATCTTACCACCCTAGAAAAAACCTGCAGCCCCTATTGAAGTGACTCCTTTGCTTCGTAAAGCAGAAATTACTGGCTTGGCATCTTCAAACCCTTTATCCTGGAATGCAGAAAGTTCACATTAACATAGCTAATTGAATTGTTGAAGAAAAATTCTTTCTTTCCAAACCTTTTGTCTTCTAATAGGATCAATATGCTTCTTATAACATTTAGTGATGAATCTATCGGCCTAAAGTTGATCTTTATTGATTTTTTTTTTTATTTACTTAACTTTTTTTTTTAATTTTATTTTAATCATGTCGAAAAATTTTGGTTTTAGTCCTATCTCAATTGGACAACCCTGAAAATTTTAAAAATTATACATAACCACAATTTGGAACCTTGTGATGTTGAAATAGAGAAAAACTATGTGCACTATCACTTCTTTAATCTTTGAAACTAGCATGCCAATTTCGATGACCGACTTTTAGATAAAGGGTAGTGAAACCAGAAACTAACCACGCTATGCGCCTTTCTCCATGATTCCCAGTCCATATTAGGGTTATTAAGATCAAAAGGTTCACCATAGAAGAAATTAGGAACCACTACTAGAAATCCCTCGGCTGCCACTTTGTCTGCAAGTTTCCTTCAAAATGATAAAATGCAAAATGTTACTTTAACTAAATTACAAGAGATAATGATGCAATTAGTGACAAAATAAGAGAAAATAAAAGGAGAGGAAAAGGGAAGGAAAGAGGGGACAAAATAACCAATCATTTCCCCTTGTTTGGTTGAGAAGAAAGTGGGACAGAAACTAAAAGAAAAAAATGTAGTTTATTGACTCCTAGCGTTATTTGTTGCACTTTAATCTAAATTTAAATTTTCCTCCAAAGTTGCTTGTGTAACGAAGATTTTTACTTATCAGAGAGAGAGAGAGGGGAGGGGAGAGTGAAGATAAAATATTTAAAAACTTTCCTTCATTTTTCTTCTATTTTCTCTCCAATTAAGTCAACCAAACAAAAGAAAATAAAAACTTTTTGAATCTCTTCCTTTATCTTCCCTTTTTTCTCTTCAACCAAACACACCACTGAGAATTAAAATAGATAATCACTATGGTTCCTCAGAATGCTACCCAGGTTTTATAATATTATTATTTTAATTGGCCATCTCTCCCTTATCTTCCCTTTTTTCTCTTCAACCAAACACACCATTGAGAATTAAAATAGATAATCACTATGGTTCCTCAGAATGCTATCCAGGTTTTATAATATTATTATTTTAATTGGCCAAAATTGCAGCATTCCAGCACCAGATTTGAGAAATCTGTTAGCAAACTAAATTCCTCATCTCCTTTTAATCCCTTAACAGTTCCCTAATGTTTCAAAATATAGACGAGACATCATAACCAGTTATACTACTAACCAATTTAAGTTCCAACTCAATTGCTCAGTTTCAGTCCATACATGCAAACTATTTCCAGAACCTTGACCTTTGATTTTTTCCCTCTAAGTCCAATGTCACAATTTAATCAAAAGATTTTTTTTTCCCCATATACTAGCTCTCAATCAAGAAATAAGAGACAAAATTTATCTATAATAAAATGAATTTACACAACTCCTATGTATGCATATTAGTTAATGTTGGACTATACATAACCAGGGATTGGTTAAAATGTATAAATAGTCTTTAACCTAAATATGGACCTAATTACATTCTTTCTCCAGGATCATAACAAAGGCTTGCAATGCCATGCAAGCACCCTTATTGCATGCAGATACACTGTTATGTACACTTCCTACATCAAAATCACATTACACTAGAATGCAATTCCACAGACTCCATGACTTGTCTATTTTTCACAGATTACTTATAAAAAATAAATAAACAAATAAAGGTGCATGATCATGAAAATGCCAAGCTATAAGTGGAGCTTCAACAAGTTGATTGAATGAATTGATGTCTTGAAGTCAAAAGGATTAAAAAAATAAAATATGAACACCAACAGGTCCAACACCAAATCTCAAAACAAAAACTTTCTTAGGTAGTATCTGATGGTCTGCGGGTAAATATGCAAGTTAAAGACAACACCAACTACAATATTTTACTAACAACAAATAATAGTAATAATTCAGCATACCTCATATTTGGAGCTTCATATCCTGCAAAACATTTTAAGAAAGCAAAACATCTAAAGCTTAGTTTGTGAAAGAACATTGAGAACTCAAAACATATATCATAATGCAAACTTTTAAATTTTCATCGGAATCATCTTCTGCATTCGCGATCTTCTGCATTCGCATGTAACTTCCTACTTGGAGATGAAAAGACTAGAACAAGGTCGATTCACAGAACAATATGCATATTGTTTGGAACCATTACCATTATGTGTCCTAATACCGCGATTTAAAACCTTAGTGATTAATGTTTAAAAACATGAAAACCTGAAGTTCATCATGCTCTTGTACTTCTAAGTTCTCACTAGACTAGAAAATAATAAGTTAAATGCTTCTAATTTAACATAATGCAATGAGAAGGAAAATTCATATTCCAACTCTGGCTTTTCACACATAACCAATAACAAGTTATACCTGGCATTTTATCTCTATCAGAACCTTCAAGGACTTCCAGGTAGTGAACAAATGAGGGAACAACTATATCGAGCTTTCCGTCACTGAGATATAAAATATGAATACAGCATAAAACATGTCCACCACAAATATTAAAATCATTAGGCAAAAAATAAAGCATGTTCCCTACAAATCCTTGATATCAAAGAATAACAGTTACTAGATATTTTATTTCGTTTTTGAAGTTTCTAGACATTGAAGGTTTCTCTGCTGAATGCACTCATCTCGGAGGGTATTTGACTGTGAAGCTTGGGAAAACTGTGTTGTCAGTTAAAAGCAGCCTAGTGCAAGAGGCTGCCGCCTTTGCAGGATTTGGGAAAGGGGTCAGATGCACCATGTATGGAGAGGCTCTTTCTACATTTCAAACCCACAATTTTGTTTTGTCATTAAGCTACAGAAAAAATAATCTGTCTATTTTTTTCTTGGGTTAAAGTTTAATTTTAAAAAATTGCTTTATATTAATTCCAATGGGTAACATCAAAGTTTGGCTTCCTTTCCTAGAGTGTTTTCAAGAAAATTTTGAGCAATACTCCTAAAACAAGGCGAAGAGAAAAATGATTAATTCAAGTGAAATATGTCACATGAATTTAAAACCAAAATTGGCGGCATATAATACTTTAAAGGAAAGCTTCTTTTTTTTTCACCTGTTTATATCAGCAATCAAGGGGGTAGCATATACACTAGAACTAACTTATGTCTGCCATCTCAGCTCCAAATGTTGAGGACACTGAGTATTCAACAATTCATCTTCATCTCCACACACACCCACAAGAAAAGTAAATACACAATCATCCTTTGAAGCTATTGATTCTATATCTCAAGAGAGCAATGCAGTAAGAACAATCAATTCTACTTCACTTTACCACGAATCTCATTGATGTTAACTGAAAAAACAACTGAGAAATAGTACATAAATATATACAGCTTGTTAATTGTCATCTAATTCTACTAACACCACATTTCAAATCTAAGAACCTCAAATTCAATTGCTTAGGCTAACCTAAAACAATTTAGAGCAACAAATATGGGTCCGTCTAACACAGGTAATAATATGAGAGGAGAGTTAGGTGTACCTCAAGGCTGAACCTAGAGCTGGACTGAACCAACAAATCTGGTGCAGAGTTCTGATCAGAGAAGTTCGAGGGGTCGATTGAACAGAAATGGAGAGAAAAATTAGGGCAAAGATGAACTGTCAATCTTCCGATTTCGTTTCTAACGCATTAATGTGCATCGCCACCTAATCTTTCTCATCGCAATCAGCCCATTCGAGATTGCCGTTCTGACGAGTCCGACGGTAGTCCTTTGTAGACAAAAGGTTCTGAAACAGTTAAGGGGAGTGTAGGGTCTGGATTTGAAAATATGGCTTGTGGAGGGATTGGAGAAGATCGAAGGTAGGGTTAGGATTTTGGAACCGATGACGAGAGTGGAGAATACGAAGTAGACGACCAGTGAAGAGAATAGGAGCAGAGAGAGAGGGCGGCGAGGGAGGAGGCGGTGGCGGTGGCGGCGGCAGTGGTAGCGCCAATAGTATTGAACGCACTCCATCTCCATCTCCATCTCCATCTCTCTTATGTGCGTTTGTGATGAACCCTAACCTTCTAATTTCCTTTTGATTAGAAGTAGCCAAAAGAGTTAAATGTATTTTGAATTTTTTTTTTTTAAAAAAATTTGTGTTTCATTATGATGATGTTGTGTATTGTTGTGGTTACAGTCCCGTTTTGGTTATTGTTGATGATGATTTGAATAGTTGTTGTTTTTTTATTTTGGTTGTTGATGATTGGTTGTTGATGATGATGTCTCCCCTGCTCCATCTCTCTTCTTCTTCTTCTTCTTCTTCTTCTTCTTCTTATTTCATCTCCATCTCCTCTTATTTCATCTCCATCTCCTCTGTTTCATTTTTTTTTTGTCAAAGTGTGATCTTTAACTATTTTTGTAGTAGTGTAACAAGGACGAGGTCCAACTTGCGAAGCCCAAACTCCTCGGCCCATAGTTCGGCCTAAATCCGAAATATGAGATGTCTTCTTGGCCTAAGACCGAGCTACACCAGCCCTTATCTCAGCCCATTGTGCGGCCCAACTTTCAAAGAAGACTTTTCCTAGCTCGGCCCAATTTATTTACAAATTACCCTCTCATGGTCCTACTAAAAAACTTATGTTCTTGTAGACGTCCCCAAACGTCCCGGGAGGGAATCCCGTTCTGTTCATTTGGGCTCACTACAGTTCAGATTCAAATTGTCACAATTCTTAATCTGATCTTGCAAAGTGCAATGCAAGACTGATAAATCACCAAAGAGTCCAAATCCGGCAAATCGTTTTTGGAAAATAGATTTTTTAGAAAGAAGTGCCAAACATGGACTGCTTTGCCAGATACAGAGTCGCCACCTAAATATTTATTTTGGGGGAATTTAGGAAACCCTGACTCGTGCCTAAGGACACGTGTCCGTCATGACCAAAGTTGCCTCGGCTCGAGAACTTAGGTACGATTGGGGAAGGTCAGCTATGAGCACCCCCGCTCGCCCGATCAAAAATCGGCCACTACTAAACATGATATCTTGTTTTTGAAAACACATGCGTTCTTATTCCGGTTAATTAGCTAATCTTTACTACGTGATGCGCACAGCAAAACAAGTATAGACTAGATTGCCTAATTTGGAACAAAGCATCGCATATCCGTTTGTTTGGAAATGGTTTGAAATTTGCTACTCGCAAGTAGGCTTAAAACACGGATTTCAATGAATTATCCCAATTCAAGTAATCCAACCTTCACCCACAGGCATTCAGACAATTATATCACATAAGCAAATAGCCTCATGGTAAGCATGCTATCATGGCAGTTACTCACACACATGCAAGGATGCTAAAGCAAAAACACTCATCGAGTACTCCGAGCTAAATCAGGAACTAGTTAGTAATCAATGCATGATCCTAGTTCATGTTAAGAAGGCTAATGCAACACATGCAAAATGCAACTAAGATAGGCTCGACTACTCTAAGATGGCATATGAGATGCAACAGATAATCATGTGTTCAATTTGGAATTAAAATACAATGTAGTTAGCATGATGCGCCGAGCCCGGTGCATGCAAGACAGATGAATGAATGCAAACATGCGAGCATAAGTATGCTAATTGAAACATGTCGTAAACTAACCATCCTTGGAAGACATGCATCACACACACACGCACGCTTATTACACAATTTGCCCTCTCTCGGAGGGAACAAATGAATAATACAAACTGAATAAATAATTAACTACTCTAGCTAATTAAATATTACAAAACTTCTAATTAATTACAAGAGGAAGGTGGCCACAGCCCCGCCTCGGAATGATGGGATGATGCATGCTCGATTTGCCTCGTCCGGAAACTCGTTACCATGCCACAGTTGCCTCTGTTTACACTGCCTCGCACCTCTGAAGACTGCACAAGTCCCAAGGATGGTTCTGGAACACTCCCTGAACACTGTGGGATGTCACCGGCCAAGAGAGATGGTCACCGGCTATGGAAAAGTGGTCATCGACCAGTTGTGAGGCTCTCGGCCAACAATGCATGGCCGGCCGGCACTGAATGTGGTCGGTCGGCCATTTCATCCTGCAGAACCCTGTTTGACAGCAGTAGAGGACAGACAAGGCATGGCAATGTATTTCTAAAGAGAATGTTTACACAACCACCCTCCCCATCATGTTATGGACTCAAGGGAGTGTGGCCCTCGGTCCTCGGGCCACCAATCACGCATTTCAATGCATGATGGCCCGAGATGCCAAAGTGTGCAATGTCAATGTCAAATAAAATGCACACAAAACAAACAAGACACCTCCAACCTCTATCATGGTTTGATCAAGAGGCAAGAGATGCATGACATGCTATACAACCTAAGCATGCGAGCTAAGTATGCAACATGAACATGTGGACAAACATGCAAACATGTAAGCATGTGACAATATTCAAACAATGAGCATGCAAGACATGATGCAACCAAAGCATGCAAACATGAAGCAATGTAACAACATTTTAGCAACATGCAAAAGATAGATTTAAACTAATATGGACAAGCCTCAGCCATGTCTAAATCAGTGGCCATATTAGATGAGAACAAGACCTAAGATTCATGCAAACATGCACAATGCAAGGGCTCCAAGCGTAAGGCACAAAATGCAACTTTCCAAGAGCAATGCAAGGATGAAACATGGCATACAATGGCATACATTCCAGCTCTGAAATGGCATACTAAATGATTCCAAAATGACTCCGAAGCATGCAAACACTCATGCTATGCATGCTAGAAGGCTCAAACACCAAAGACTAGTGAAGTGCATTACACTATAGTCTTGCAAAGCTATGTTCAAATGATGAAACCAACCCCAAATAGACCTTATGCAACCCTAAAACAATGGCAAAATGATATGAGATGGTGGCTCGAAATGCATTTAAATGAAGCTCATGCAAAGGCTCATAAATGGGGCATACAAGCACAACTCTCAAATACATTTAAAGCATGGAAAATAGGGGAGTATGGCACATGTATAAGCTCTGAAATACTATACACAATGATACTAAAACATGCAAACACCTCGATATAAGCATGCAATAGGCTTCAAAACTCAAAGCTAAGCATGGCTATTACACTACAAGCATGCATGGCAAGCACCAATCGACCAAGAAGCCTAAAAACAGAGTTAAGGCAGCCCAAAATATGAACAAAACATGTTTGGAGTATGGCCAAAACATGCTAGAATGGAGGGCCAAAACAACATGCAACATTGGCTAATAAGTATGGATTACACTATATGTATATGAAGCATTCAAGGGGCCATTAAACCAGCCAAAAACAAATTCATGGCATGCCAAAATATGACCAAATACCCACTGAATGTGTCCAATACATGTTAGAATGAGGTACTCCTTTGGAAGGCCATGCAAGGGGTTGTTCTACACATGCAAGAAGGACATCTAACATGGAAAAACCAACTCTGGAAAGGGGTTATGCAAGCCCTAAAACTCACTGAAAAAGGTCTGAAACATGCTCAAGAAGTGTGCAAATATGGGCCCCTTTGGAAGGCCAAATATGCTAGTAAACAAGACAACAAAGGAGAGGATCCCCCTCTCCTTCTTAGGACCTCAAAACACCATCCCCGCTTCCTCAAGAAGCTAAAACTAAGGGTTCAAAAGGTTCAAGCTTCCTCAAGAAGCTAAAACTAAGGGTTCAAAAGGTTCAAGCTTCCTCAAGAAGCTAAAACTAAGGGTTCAAAAGGTTCAAGCTTCCTCAAGAAGCTAAAACTAAGGGTTCAAAAGGTTCAAGCTTCCTCAAGAAGCTAAAACTAAGGGTTCAAAAGGTTCAAGCTTCCTCAAGAAGCTAAAACTAAGGGTTCAAAAGGTTCAAGCTTCCTCAAGAAGCTAAAACTAAGGGTTCAAAAGGTTCAAGCTTCCTCAAGAAGCTAAAACTAAGGGTTCAAAAGGTTCAAGCTTCCTCAAGAAGCTAAAACTAAGGGTTCAAAAGGTTCAAGCTTCCTCAAGAAGCTAAAACTAAGGGTTCAAAAGGTTCAAGCTTCCTCAAGAAGCTAAAACTAAGGGTTCAAAAGGTTCAAGCTTCCTCAAGAAGCTAAAACTAAGGGTTCAAAAGGTTCAAGCTTCCTCAAGAAGCTAAAACTAAGGGTTCAAAAGGTTCAAGCTTCCTCAAGAAGCTAAAACTAAGGGTTCAAAAGGTTCAAGCTTCCTCAAGAAGCTAAAACTAAGGGTTCAAAAGGTTCAAGCTTCCTCAAGAAGCTAAAACTAAGGGTTCAAAAGGTTCAAGCTTCCTCAAGAAGCTAAAACTAAGGGTTCAAAAGGTTCAAGCTTCCTCAAGAAGCTAAAACAAGGGTTCAAAAGGTTCAAACCTCCTCAAGAAAAGGTCTCGGCTAGAAAAAATGGTCGATTGATCAAAGAAATGGCCGATCGACCAAAAACATTGCCGACCGGCCAACACTTTTGGTCGGTAGCAAGAAAACAGGGCCGGTAGCCTCAAGCCATGGCCGGTGAGGTGTGGGGATGGCCAACAAACCATTCCCTGCCCTTAGAAGCAAACACACAAGTGTTTGGTCCACAACCGAGTACAAAACAAACAACTCGAGAGGTCTCGAGGCAAGGCGCACGGCCGAAACTTCTGAGAACTCAAGACGAACACGAACATGGATAATTATCGAGTGTTCAAATGATGACGTCCAAGTCTTGAGGACGGTCAAAAATGGGGTGTCTACAGTTCCCATAAGTCTTGTGGAAAGTTTGTTGACACATTTACCCTCAATATTAGTTGTTAATATCATAAATAATAGTAAAACCATATATAGGAAATCGAATATTACCATGGATCATATCTATATAAACGTAACGTAACATGACACCTACATAAACGTAACGTGACACCTATGATCTATGGTAACATTCAATTTCTTATATAAAAAATTGAATGTTGCCATAGATTATATCTACATAAACGTAACGTAACGTGACACCTACATAAACTTAACGTGACACCTATGATCTATGGCAACATTCAATTTCCTATATAGAAAATTGAATGTTGCCATAG